TGCGTTACAAAGAGTCCAACAAGAGTCCATCATTATGTTTCTCCCCCATGCCTCCTCCTCTCTACCTGCCCCATCGTTGTTTCTCTAGTACCCTCCTCTCTTCTCTCTGCTTCCCCCTCCATCGTTTTTCCCTCATCGTATTCCTCATTGGCTTTCCCTTCGAATTGTTCGTCGCCCTTCCTTTCTTACTCTCCCCACTACCTCCCCCATCGTGTTCCCTTCTCTCTCCCCATCGTTTCCTATTCCTGACCCTCCTTTCCTACCCGCCTCGTATCTAGCCCTCCCTCCTTTCTTACCCCTCCGTCGTTCGACCCCACGTGCAGCGCAATGCATGAAGCCACCGATCGATTATGCAAATGTTTGAAGCAGTTCGAGTGCGTCAATCGGCCACGTGCAGTGGGGGGGAGGGGGAGCGGGGAAGGTTCCGTAGAAGCACCCTGCTTCTTAGAATGTGCGCGCCTTGTCCATAGACGTAACGCCAGCGCCTTCTAAGAAGCAGTGTTCTTCCAAGAAGCCTCCCCGCCCCCTTCCCCCCTGTGCGCGCCGCCAAGTCAATTGCGCGCAGTCATCGTTTCATGGCCACATTGCCTCATCCCCCATCGACATTTCCCCATCGACCCTCCCTTCTTCCGCCACCCTTCCTTCCGCCTCCGTCTCCTGTTTCCATCCCTTCACCTTCCTTCTCCCTGGTCCCCCCCTCTCCTGGTTGAGGAAAAGGAGGACACAGGATGGGAGTAGGAAATTAAGAGAAGGGGTAGGATCGGGGTGGTGGGACGGCTAGCCGTGGCCCTAGCATGTTAGTGCTAGCCAGTGCACTTTGCCAGTGAGTAAGGAGGCGGAGGAGATCAGCGTCGACCAGTGCACGCCGTAGGCCAACAAGAGGAGGTGCAGGAGGAGCAGTAGGAGGAGAGTGAGAAGAGGAGGGGTGACGACAGATGCAGATGCCGACGCTGATGCTGATGAGCTGGAGGAGTCGGAGAAGCAGGGGAGGCGGAGGAGGATGTCCTCCCTCGTCACGCCCGCCCCCTTCCGTCAGTGGCGTTTCACCGACCCCCATCCCCATCCCCATTCCCTTCTGTTATAAACGGTACTCATTCCGAGACCTCCGAGCTCAAAGGCCGACCGCAAACCCCCCGTGGGGGCAACTGCCGCCCTCCCCGCCGCGCCGGCAACGCTTGGCATCGCTCGGACGTGTGCCTTGTTCCTTCGGCGAGGACCATCGAGGAGCATCCTTGATCATTTGGCGAGAAAACCACACACGAAACCGAAAAAAAGCGCAGGGAATGGACGTCCGAGCGATGGCGAGAACGACGCGCCGACGGCGCCGTCGCTCCGGCCGGCGCTGCGATGGCGGCCGCGCCGCCAGCGCCGGCCGACGCCTCGGCGGCGGCCGCGCCGCCAGCGTTGGCCGACGCCTCGGCGGCGGCCGACGCGTGCGCCCGCGATCCTGCCGCCGCGAGCGCCGCCGAGGCAGCGGCCTGCGCCGCGGGCGGCGCCGCGGGCCCCGGCGCCGCGGGCTGCGCCGCGGGCCCCGGCGGCTCCCCGGCCGCGGGGGCCGCGGGCTGCGCCGCCGCCGAGGCTCCGCGGAGGAAGTCATTCTGCTGCTGCTGCTGCTGCTGCTGCCAAGGATGGTGATGGCGTTGACGACGACGACGACGAAGGTGACATGCTGATGCTGATGCTGGTGCTGGTGATGATGCTGGTGATGACTATGATGCTGATGACGGTGATGACGATGGTGAGGATGATGACGACGACGATTACCATGATGATGCTGATGCTGATGCTGTTGATGATGATGTCGATGATTCTGATGATGATGATGATGATGATGATGGTGATGATGGTGATGATGATGATGACGATGCTGATGGCGATGGTGATGACGATGGTGATGACGATGCTGATGATGTTGATGCTGACGATGGTGATGATGGTCATGATGATGACCTTGGTGATGATGATTATGATGATAATGGCGAATATGATGTTGGTGATGTTGTCGATGATGTTGATGCTGATGTTGGTTTTGACGAGGATGATGCTGCTGAGGATGACGATGCTGCTCATGATGATGATAATAATGATGGTGACGATGGAAAAGGTTCTGCTGAAGATGATGATGATGATGACGATGAGGAGGAGGAGGAGAAGGAGTATGATGATGACGACGAGGATGGTGATGATGCTGCTGCTGACGATGATGATGATGATGACGATGACGATGATGATGATGATAATGATGGTGATGATGATGATGATGATGATGATGAAACGAGGGTGATGTTGATGATGGTGATGGTGATGATGGCGAGGATACTGGCGATGCGCGTGCTGCTGCTATGATGTTGTCGATGATGCTGATGATGCTGATGATGATGTTGATGATGCTGATGATGATGACGATCATGATGATGATGCTGATGATGATGCTGCTGCTGCTGCTGCTGATGATGATGATGATGATGATGATGATGATGATGATGATGATGATGATGATGATGATGTTGCCCTCGCCTGATCGGAACGCGCCCCGGTATCGGTATCGTGTTGTTCCCCCCGAGGCCGCGACCACCGCGGGCTGCGCCGCGGGCCCCGGCGGCGGCGCCGCAGAGGAGCGGCGTGGTCGGCCACCGTCGCCGTCGCCGTCGGCCGCCGCCGGTGGCCGCTGGCCGTGACCGCTGCGGCACGGGGCGTCGTCTCCGCCGTCCTCCTCCTCCTCCTCCTGCTTCTCCTCCTCCTCCTCCTCCTCCTCCTCCTCCTCCTCCTCCTCCTCCTCCTCCTCCTCCTCGCTGCTCCTCCTCCTCCTCCTCCTCCCGCCTCGCTGCTCCTCCTCCTCCCCCTCCTCCCTCCTCCTCCTCCTCCTCCTCCTCCTCCTCCTCCTCCTCATCCTCCTCCCCATCCTCCTCCTCCTCCTCCTTCTCTTCCTCCTCCTCCTCCTCCTCCTCCGTCGTGGTCTCGTCGCGCTCACGGTCAAGTTTCCCCGATCGAGGTTGCCCGAATGGGGCTGGAGCGCAGCGAGGGCCGGAAGGGCGACGGAACTACTGGGGACGACGGTGGAGACAAGTTTATAGCCCACACTGGACAGGATTCGTCGTTGGGGTCGTTTCGGGCGTTGTCGATTGCGGACGACGAACGGCGCCTGCCCAACAGCGGCCACTGTCGGTTTTGAACCACACTTGCTGGTATCCTCCCCAGCCTTTGTCTCCCCAATTCGGGATCGCGTTGCCTCGCTGGTGCATCGATCCGGATATATTCGGATAAGCAGCTCCGGATCCGATGCGGATACATTCGGAATTGGAGCATGATTTGCTCCATCCCGACGTCGCTGATGCATCGGCGATGCGATGCATTGACGATGCGATGCGATCCTCCGACAAGAACGCTCTCCATATGATTTCGATTCGAATTCGTCTGAATTCTGGCCGAACTCACCCCAGGGTCTGGCGACACGTGACTCGCACTAGAATCCTGAGTTCACATGTTCTTCGTCATCTTCATTATGCTCTTACTCTTTTGAACGGAGTTCGAGGTTAGTATTCGGGGATTCCGCTGGGTTCTGGGCGCTACGGTCGGTCAGTCAGTGTTGCTCCTCCACTAGATCACCGTTCTCCAAGTTCCGCTCCCAGCACTGGTCCCTTGTTTGTTCGTCCTCGTCCTCCTCCCCATCCTCCTCAAGCAAGACAACCACGTTGTCCAGAAGTGTAGACTCCACTTGCGTGGGGACAGCGGCGACCTGCTGGGGTACGAAAACGCACTGTCTGCAAATTAACCCAGCCAGTCCAGCCAGTCGGTCAGTCGTCAGGCAACGAGTCAATCAGCAAGTCGATTGTTGAGACAGCCAGTCAGACCACTTCACGGGAGCAAAACCAAATCCAGGCTGAGCCCCCGCAGATTCAAGCGGTCTATGCCATGACGCCGTGCCCTGAGGACAGGAAGCCCTCAGGGGCGCGAAAGAAATCGCGCTTCGCGTGTCGCAGCCTGGCGTTTTTCAATGGACCTGGGCGTTTGCTAAACAGCCGTGTTCTGTTCGATGTCTTCCTTGGGTGCGCTTGCTAAAAGGCTTCGCCTGTCGGGTGCTCACTGTGCGGGTAGTTGTCGTTTCTGCTCTCCAGGGGAGGCGAGAAAACGAGTAAGCTCAAGGGGCGTCTGGGGTGGCCTCCGTCCTGGCCCCGGGATCGGCGAATATTTCGAAAGCCCAGGGTTCGGTAGGGACTGCCCCCCCCCCAACAAAAAAACTACCCAAACTTTTCTGAAACCCTGCAGTAGCCCTCCAAAAAGTCTGCGGGGACCTTTCGGGAGGACTGTCGGAAGGTTTCGGGAGGTTTCGGGGACTGGGTTCAGTCGCTTCGGGGACACCCGGCTCTTGGCGAACCCTGGACTTCCGAAGTGTATACGCCCTGCGGCCCGGTCCCAGGGCATGCTTCGCCTCCATATCTGCGCTGGCCACCCGAAGAAGAAGAAGAAGCAGAAGAAGCATCAGTTCTCGCAGGTGCGCGCAAAGTACACTCCAGGCGATGCTTAAGAAAACCTAAGTTTTCGTCCAGAGTCTCGATCATTCTTAACCTTTCTATGTAAATCCCAAGATTTTGATAGAAGTTCTGGGTTTTATTCAATTTCTGAGACTATGAATTTCTGAACCCATGATTCCTTAAGCATTTCGCATGGTGTACTCTGGTCGGCGCTGGCCGCCCCGTGGCGGCGGGCGGAGGCGCCGCCAAGGCCTCGGAGGAGGGGCCGTCGAGACGGCGGCGGCCGTCGCCAGCGCTTCTCGGCCTTTTTGGGGGCTCTCCTGGAGGCACCCAGCCTCCCCCTCCTCCTCCTCCTCCTCCTCCTCCTCCTCCTCCTCCTCCTCCTCCTCCTCCTCCTCCTCCTCGGCTCCGCCGAAGACGTTCGCATGCCGGCCCTCGCCAATTCCGGCGCACCGCTCAGACGCGTCGTTCCTCCCTTCATTTCCCCTCTCTTTCCAGGACTCCGCCCCTCCCGCCCGCAGCGTCCCAGCGGCGCCGGGAGGAGGCGGAGCCGTTCGGCGGCCGCGCGCCCTGGGCTGGCCGGCCGAGCGACGCGGGCGCCGACGTGGACGTGGACTCGGCGGTCGTGGAGCGGTACCGCGCAGGATTTAGCCGGGGCCTCAGCTCGGGAGTGGCCTCGGGTCGGGAGGGCCGGGGCTCGGAGGATGAAAGAGCAGCCGCTGCTGCTGCTCGGCCTGGAGAGCACTCTTCACCAGCGCGCCGAAAAGGTACTGTAGCGCATGGGGCTGGATCGAACGATTGGCGCGGAAGCTAGACCGCAGCGCGCACACGCGTGCGCATGTCCAAGATTGCATAGCTTCCAGTGAATGCCTGCGAACGGGCAGAAGGCCAAACATATTTCAAAAACTACCGAAGATCAATGAATATTGCCCCTCGGGGCCCTCCTCGGAAGCCTCTCGGAGGCTTCCTGGGGCGTCCTGAGGACTTCGAGGGCCGTCTTGGGCCCGTCTTGGGCGTCTTGGAGCGATGCGTAAGCGAGCCGGAACTCTCTGGGAACGCCTTGGGAAGCTCTGTTGGCCCGTCTGGGAGCTCTCGTAGGCCCCAAAGAATCACGCGGCAGACCGCGCCGGAGCCCAGGGGCACCGCGCCACATCCTGGAAGATTTGGGCCGAAGGGCTCCGAACCGCCCCAGGCTCCTCCTCCTCCCCCGCCTCCCCCGCCTCCTCCTCCTCCTCCTCCTCCTCCTCCTCCTTCTCCTCCCCCCCTCCCTCATCCCCCTCCTCCCCCTCCTCCGCCGCCGCCTCCTCCTCAGGAGCGAGGGCTGAGGCTCAGAGAGGGAGTGAGAGGACCTGAGGACACGCCCACTCCGCGCCTCGAGGCACGGTGGCAGATGTGTATCTATATATATATATATACACACACCTGCATACACACATACATAACTTATACATGCATATGTATATGTATACACAAAAGTGTATGCGATGGATTCGCTGCTGCATCTGTGTGCAGGAATAGAGTGAGAGAGGGAGAGAGAAAACAACACAAAAAGAAGAGAGACCTCGAGTCCGACAGCTTGACAGCTTCAGCTGGGGGATGGGGCGTCAGCGGAGGCGGAGCTGGAGGAGGAAGGGGCAGGGGAGGGAGGAGGAGGGAGGAGGGAGGGTCAGGAAGAGCGCAACGAGGTGCTCAAGGAGAGGGTGGATGGGCCGAGCCAGGTGAGCGGCGTAGGAAAATGGGATCGATTGCGTGGGCATGCTGGTGGAAGCTGCCCGAGTCAGGCCGCACCCAATCTCATCCGCCTTCCTCCTGTCTCCTCCCTCCCGGGTGCCCTCTCCTCGAAGTTGGCTGGAGAAGACCCTTCAGCCCTCCTCCCTCCTCCTTGTCGCTCTCCAGCCCCCCCCTCCCCCGCCTCTTCCTCCGCCCCCTCCACCATGCCCGTTTTCCCAATCCTTCTTCATGTCCCCTCCTCCCCTCGCTCCAGCATATGCCCACGCCTCCAGCCAGACTGTAGATAACAGCCGAGGTCGGGACGTGATCCTCGAGGCCCTGGAGGGTGTGGCATTCCCGGAGAGCAGTCGGCGCAACGTGCGCCGCAAGGGCGACAGCGGGCCCATGTACGGCGCCGGAGGAGCAGCAATAGCACCGTCCCACAGACCCCCTCGCGTCGCGACAGAAATTGCCGTTCTCGGCCTCCGGAAGCCCTCGTCGGGCCCCGTGACCGTCCAAAAACGGTTCATGATGAGAAGCTGGTCCTGAAGAAGAGGTCCAGGCCTCCGGAGGTCCACGTCAGACGACCCTTTTGTAGTCGTCGTGGGGCCGTCTAGGGGTGCTCTTTAATTTCTTGGGGCCCTCTTGGAGGCCTCTTGCACAGTCTTAGGGTGGTCTTGGGAGCTTCTTGGGCCGTCTTGGAGCGACGGAAAGCCGAAAAGGCGAGAACGCCCAAATCCTTCAGAAATTCAATGATGTTTGCCTCTTGGGAGGCCTCTTGGGGCGTCTTGGAAGTCTCTCAGGCCGTCTGGGCACCATCTTCGGCGTCTTGGGGCGACCTTCCGGCGACTCGGGGGTCCCTTGAGCTCCGTCGCTTTTTTGTTCAGGAGGGAAGTGGGGGGAAAGACAAAAATCGCCGATTCCCCAGAAAATATTGTCGAGTCCCCAGAAAATATTGGAAAACATGGGAAGTGGGGGGAAAGACAAAAACCCAGAAAACATAGGACAATACGGGGAATCCTGTTATCTGTGCGTATTTCTTTGCGTGTCCCAGGGCTCCTTCTTTTGTGCCTCTGTCTGTGCCTCCGCCGGTCGTTGGGGCCCTCCAGGGGGGGAAAAAGTCCGGGGTGGGCAGATTTCCTACCCTGACACGTCGATTAAGGAAGTTGCCGTTTTCGCTTCGCGAGGGGGCGTCGCGGCCGTCATTTTTGCGGGCCCAGGTCCGTCGGTTTCGGTCCCAGGCCGTTTTCTCTAAGGGGAGGTTTACTAAAGGGAGGTCTGTCCACCGCCGACTCGTGGTCTCGTCGCGCTCACGGTCGAGCTGCCCCGATCGAGGTTGCCCGAATGGGGCTGGAGCGCAGCGAGGGCCGAGGGCCGTTTCCTCTAAGGGGAGGTTTACTGAAGGGCGGCTTGTCCACCGCCGAAATTGGCTGGAGAAGACCCTTCAGCCCTCCTCCCTCCTCCTTGTCGCTCTCCAGCCCCCCTCCCCCTCCTCTTCCCCCTCCCCCTGCTCTAAGGGGAGGTTTGCTAAAGGGAGGCTTGTCCACCGCCGACAAAGGGAGAGTCACGCGGGGAGGCGCGACGGGCCCCCGAGGGGAGGCGCGAGGAGCGCCCCCCGGGGGGCCCCGCACAGAGGTGCCTCGGGAGCGAGGGCCGAGGGGGACGCCCGCTCTCGATGGGGCCCACGGACACGCGCACACACACATTCACACATACATACAGATAGATATAATAATAATAATAATGCGAATAATAATAATAATAATAATAATAACGCGAATAATAATAATAGTACTAATAGTAGTAGTAGTAGTAGTAGTAGTAGTAGTAGTAGTAGTAGTAGTAGTAGTAGTAGTAGTAGTAGTAGTAGTAGTCGTAGTCGTAGTCGTAGTCGTAGTCGTAGTAGTCGTAGTAGTCGTAATAGTCGTAGTAGTCGTAGTAGCCGTAGTAGCCGTAGTAGTCGTAGTAGTAGTAGTAGTAATAGTAGTAGTAGTAGTAGTAGTAGTAGTAGTAGTAGTAGTAGTAGTAGTAGTAGTAGTAGTAGTAGTAGTAGTAGTAGTAGTAGTAGTAGTAGTAGTAGTAGTAGTAGTAGTAGTAGTAGTAGTAGTAGTAGTAGTAGTAGTAGTATACACACACGCACGCACACACACATTTACATATATATATATATATAGATCGGGGGCGGCAAAGAGGGGGGTGATGACTAGGGGGGGTGGATATCATGGCGGGGGCCATGATATTTCCCAGATTTCATGGCGCCGCTTCTTATTTCATTACGTCCCTGGGCCCCCCGCTGGGTCGCGCACATGCCGCCGGTCATGACTTGCACTCCCCCCTCTTTGACGCCCCCCTGTTTGCCGCTCGCGAATATCTATATATATACACAAATATCATGATGCTCCGACTGAATTCAGCCTTGACCACCAGGAAGAATGTCGAGCGCCCAGAAGAGCACCGAGATTCAAGGGCTTTCACGTGTCGGGCCCTGGGAGAGACTCGTCCGACACTGTCTCGGCACTGGCTCGACACTTCTTTTGACACTTTACGGGGTGCTCGAAACTATTTCTGGGATGCGGTCCTTAAGTAGGATGGGAACAACATAACACAAATAGCCAGATTCCCCATACGTTTGTCCCATATGCTCTGGGTTGTTGTCTTCCCCCCCACGCTTCCCATATTCTCCCATATCTTCTGGGGAGTCGACGATTCATTGTGTCTGTGTGTTTCTTTCCCTCCTGACATTCCGTGCCCAGCGGCGCGGTGGCTGATCGAGGGAGGGAAAAAAGCCACCCCGGCGCCGAAAGTTGGCGGTGACTAATAAAGTCAGGAGGGACAAAACAAAAACACACAGACACAGTTCATCGTCGAGTCCCCAGAAAATATAGGAAACTATGGGAAGTGGGGGGAAAGACAAAAACCCAGAAAATATTGGGGAATAGTGGGAATTCTGTTATTGGTGTCTATTTATTTATGTGTCCCAAGGCCTCTTCATAAAGGGGCCTGTGCGTTTACTGCCCTGCCCTGTCCGACTCCTCCCTCGGGTGCGTTTACGAAGCGGCGTTCGCTTGTCGGGGTGCGCCTTCTGAGGATGGATGTTCTGCAGTCCTACGTCGGTCAGCCACGCGCAGGGGGGGGAGGGGGGGGGGGTCTTTCAGGAGGGGAAAAAACACACAGACACAATTAATCGGCGATTCCCAGGAAATATGGGAAAATATGGGAAGTGGGGGGGAAGACCAAAACCCAGAAAATATAGGAAAATATGGGGAATCGTTTTATTTGTGTGTATTTATTTGTGTGTCCTGGGCCCCCTTCACACGCGCAGGGGGGGGGAGGAGGGGGGGGGCCCTCCCAGAAGCACCCCTGCTGCTGGGAAGGCGCGGGCCTTACAGTCGGAGCCCTGAAGCAGGAGCCCTTTTCGTTGGGGAGGGGCTCCGCGTTCCTCACGTGTTTCACAGCGTGCCTCAGGTCTTCCCTTCTGTTTTCGATCGGAAGTCGAAGTTTGATTTATGGGAAAAAGGTTCAAGTTGGGGAGGGAGTTTTATTGATCTGGGAAAAGTTTGATTTATGGGAAAAATTTGATTTGATGTTTTCGATCGGAAGTCGAAGTTTCGTTGGGGAGGGGCTCCGCTTTCCTCAAGTGTTTCACAGCTTGCCTCAGGTTTTTCCTTATGTTTTCGATCGGAAGTCGAAGTTCAACTTATGGGAAAAAGGGGCCTCGTTCCCTACTCAGGGTTCCTTACAGTCGGAGCCCTGAAGAAGGAACCCTTTTCGTTGGGGAGGGGCTCCGCGTTCCTCAAGTGTTTCACAGCGTGCCTCAGGTCTTCCTTATGTTTTCGATCGGAAGTCGAAGTTTGATTTATTGGGAAAAAGGGGCCTCGCTCTCCTTACTGAGGGTTCCTCAGGTCAACGCCCCGACTGTATCTGGAGATGTCGGGCCCGTGCCTCCCAAGAAGCAGCCTCACTCTAAGGAGCCATCGCCCCTCCCTCCACCCCCTCGTGCGTGCCGCCAGGTTCCGCGGGGATCGGCCCAGGAGGGCGCGCCTCGATCCCCCACCGCCCACTCACCGCCCCCGCCCAGGACAAGTGCGGATTCCAAGAGGGCGCCCTCGAGGGCGCGAGGTCATTCGCGCGTCGCGGTTCGGCTCCGATTCCTCCTCGTCCTCCTCTTCTCCCCTGGGAGGCGGCGCGAGAGCGCGAAGTTCTTCGCACCTCGCGCTTCGCGCAGCGCGGAGCGCGCAGCTGGGAGCCCTTGGCTTCGGTATCCGGGGGCCTCTCGCCGATCTGTTGGCGACGCACCGCCGATGCCGTGCCGATGCTGCCACCCCCGGAGCCGGCCCCCCTCCGGCGCCGCCCCTCGGCGAGAGAGGTTCCCTGGCCCTGGGCCCCGCGGGGAGCCGCGAGGCAGCAGGGGTGCAAGATCCCACGCCAGGTAGAGGCAGCAGAGCTGCGAGATCCCCTTTCTTCTTCCCCCTCCCCTTTCTTCTTCCATGGATGAGCCTTCTGCTCTCTTGCGCTGATGGGTAATCCGCGCCCTGCTGTTACTGCTGTGGCCTTCATTCTGTATAGTTTCGAACTGCAGGGCTGACGGGTTTGTCAACCACGACAGGTACTCCAGATTTCGTAGTAAAGGGAGGGGGGTCTCATTTCGGGGGGGGTCTTTTCCAGGCTATCTTGGAGGGCCTGGAGGGGTCTGGGGACGATGTTTTGGAGGGTTCTCCCACGGGGGAGGTCTGAAATGTCTTGCCTTGGAGGGTCCAGACCCCCTCCCTTTTATTACGAAATCTGGGGTAGAGGCAGCAGAGCCGCGGGGCAGCAGAGGCGCGAGAGCCCACGAGGGCGAGATCCCACGTGGAACGTTGCCCCCGCGGGGCGTCGCGAGGCAGCAGCGGTGCGAGTCGCGGGGCAACAGTCAGGAGGAAAAAGAAACACACAGACACAATTAATCCTCGATTCCCCAGAAAATATGGGAAAATATGGGAAGTGGGGGGGGGGAAGACAGAAACCCAGAACATATGGGAAAATATGGGGAATATTTTTATTTGTGTGTATTTATTTGTGTGCCCTGAGGCCCCTTCAAACAGAGGTGGCCGTCGGAGGCACCGGGAGTTCGTTCCAGGCGTACGTCGGGCTTGTCCCTCCACGGGAGGAGTACTCACAAATGCTTCAAACATGGTCTGGGGACTATCTGTTCTCAGTTGTTTGTTTGCAACCATGCTTGTTACTATTTTGGGCTATCTTTAGTTTTTCCTCGAACATCGGCCTGTAGGGGGACAGGCCCGACCTGATCCGAGGCCTCCCAGACGGGGTCCGAGTGGACTCGGCGATCGGCGTTCGGCCCACGCCTCGGCTGCCGCCCCCCTGCTCTCGGCGCCAGGTGCAGCAGGGCACGGGTGCAAAACCGTGGCCGCGGAGGGCCGAACGCCATCCATTCAAGCAGTGGCGCAGCGTCCTGGCTCGCTTATAGCCCCACCAAACGATGTTCTAAGAACCTTTTTGTGGTTTCCACGAAATGTTCTTAGAGCATTGCTGGCGGAGTCTGTCTTGTTTTATCCCATCGGGTGTATATTTCCAGAACATTGTATTTGTTCTTAGAACATATTTCTGGGTTCTAAGAACATTTCGTGGTAGGACGATAGGAATGCCGGGACGGTCGGTCCCTGCTCAATCCATGTTCCCGCTCTGGCCCCTCGCGGGGTTCGGGGCCTGAACAGGGGATGGATACCACGTCGAGCGCCTAATAGAGGTGGGCGGAGGATCGTCCCGCACTGCCGAAGCATCAGGGATGTGACCCGATGTGGAGCACGATCTTCTCCACGCCGACGTCCCCCGATACATCGCACAAACGTCGCCGATGCATTGGCGATGCGGTGCGCTCCTCCTCCCCAACCTATGCATGCGATTGGAGGGTTCCACTCCTGATCGTCGCCCCGGCAGAGCCTGCGTCAAAACGCCTCCGAACGGTAGAGGAGGGTGGGATTGCCGTATGTGCCGCCGCGCTGTTCCTCTCCTGATGTTGCTGCTCCAGATCGTTTCACGCGTAACCTTGGGCCTTCGAATGGTTGATTTCTTATCCTCCTGTACTGTGTCTCCTCGTCGACGTGCTCCTCCCCGTTCGCCCCCATCATCCTTCCCATTCTCACCCGTCTCGCCGTCCCTGTCCCTACCCCCCACACAGCTTTACGAGCGGTAGCCCCTATGCCAGTCCCGCCCAGGCATGTGCTTGGGGATGACGGAGTGCTACACGGGTGGCCCCAGGCTGGGGAGGGGGGGGAAACACACGTTGACGGTAGGGAGGGACGTTACGGCAGCAGCAATGGCATGACGAGGGAGGGTGAGGCAGCGGGATAACAGTAATGAGGCAGAGGAATTTTGGTCGATAGGCCCTGCGCTTATCTACAATGTTGCTTTGCGGGTGACAAAGAGGCTGGGCTGGGGCAGTTGCGTGAGCATTGCAAAGTGCATGCGCTGCCTATAACTACCCATCAATCTACCAATGCCCTTATGGAGCTGAAGGTACGGTCTGAAATGTGTAGTTGTCCAATTGCGCCGCCGCGCGAATTTGCCACCGCGTTCGGGCGGGCTCCCAGGGGAGAAGGGGGGGATCTGGGGAGGGGAGCGATTGGGCACCCAGAAGGGATAGATGCCATGCGAGGTACTCCTGTCAGCATGCTTGAATCGGCTTCACTTTCTGTCTGGAAGACTGTGCGCGCTTCCCTGGAATTTTTCGGGGTTCGACTATGACGGCCCCCCGTTGCCCGGAGGGGGCTTGGGAGCCTACTTGAGACAGCCCCAAAGTGCATTCAAATGCTCTCTGACTCAGCCCAGAGTGCGTTTCTTCGTGTCTCGGCGGTACGAAACTGATTCCAAAAAGCACACATGTTGTGTAAGGTGTTGATTTCGAAGAGGGTTTCATGATGGCTTGAAGCTGCCAGGCCCAAGGAAGGTCCAAGACGACCTCAAGATGGCCCCGACAGGTATTCCCCTAGACGTCCCGAAGTCTCCGACACACCGCCCAATGCCCCGCCCCCCGCCACGATCCCAAGGACCCCCACACTTGGCCCCAAGATCCCTAGAGGGCTCCCCAAGAGGATCTCAGGACGCTCTACGGGAACCTGCAAGGGGGGACATAGCATACACACATACAAACATTTACACATATGTGAAGATGTATATGCGTGCATGTGCGCGCTTCTCATCCGCCTTGTTGGCTCAAGGCGTGCACACCCTGTTTAACTATCGGGCTTCGGTTCGTAATCGCCCCCCCCGGTTCAAAGATTTCCCAGAATGTCGCGTAGGGTTTGAATGGGACGGTGTGAAACTTCCGCACGGAACCATCTTCGCGTCTTCCTTCGTCATCATCTCTTCCCTCCTCCTCCTCCTCCTCCTCCTCCTCCTCCACACGAAGAGTAAGAGGAGTGAGGAGGCGAGGCGAAGGAGTGAGGAGGAGGGGGAAAAACAGGAGCAGGGCGAGGAGGAGGAGGAGGAGGTGGAGTGAAGAGGAAGGAAAGGTGGAGGATGGCGCTGGACAACAAATAAAACTAAACAACCACAAGGAACAACACACACACACACACACTCACACTACATACATTGAAATTCCGGCGGCAGACCGGGTAGGACAACCACTGGAACGGCAACAGCCCAGCAGAACAAACACTTCTTACTATACTGTACAGCTCTCACTACATCTTCTACTGCAACGTATACCGCGCAGCATCATACAAGTCCTGCTACAGTCCATTGCCACAGCCACACGTTTGCCCCCAGATACAGTTCCCACAGCAGGCAGCAGCACAGCTCTCACTACAGGAATTACTACTGCCCCCCTTCCTCAACTTCCAAACCATAGCCGGTAGTACAGTCCACTCCTTCGACGGCTCTCAATACAGGTCCGACTAGGATTTCCTCCAACTGGTTTCCCACAGGTCATCCACCAGCTCCTACTACAGCCACGCGCATAGCTGGCGCTACATATTTTGATGCAGGGCCTACTGCGGTTGATGGCACGGTATGGTACACGTCCTGGTCCACATCATAGTGCAACTCTTACCAACGCAGCCAGTAGCAGGGCTGTCATTCGGGCCCACGTGCCTGCTACACGTCCAATCGCCAGCAGTCGTACATATCCCAATCCAACGTTCAAGATTTGTTTCGCTACGGCCCCCAGTCAGTTCCCAGCACAGCTTCTCCAGAAACGCATCTTTCAGTTTTCAGGGCCGTTCCTTTTATAACGTATGCTGCATATCGAAGTACAGTTCCTAATACAATCCCTTGGCACCGCCTCTCATGCAGCTCCAATTACACCATATACTACAACCAGTCCCAACGAAAGAGCTCCCATTACAGCTCTTATTTTCCCCCCAAGAAGCAGTTCCTAAGCCAGGCCGCGCGACAGCTCCTGCTACAGCACGTCCTACGAATATCACAGTTGCTCCTCGACAACTCTCACGGCAATTCCGTTTACAACCTTTTACAGCAGTCCGTCCCGCAGTTCTTTTTTACAGCAGCATACAGCAGTTCCCATTATAGCCGCTCGCACAGTGCTTAGTACATGTGTGCTGCATGTTCTGCTGCAGTTGGTGGTACTAGCCCACTACATACCCCTGCGCAGCTTATCCGACCACAGCTCGTAACACAGCCTTCAGCACTGCTCTTACGAATGCTGCCTACTAAACTGCCAACTGGCACCAACCAATCCTGATAATGCATCTCCCGGAAGAACTGATAAAGCTTTTCGTGCAGTCAATTGTACAGCGTCCACTACAGTTCATACGGCAATGCCCACTACGCATCTTAATTCAGCTTGGTTTGGGTTTCCTCATGCCAGTGACGGAGCGGTGCAGGCGGCGCGGGCGTTGCGCGGGCTGTTTGACATTCGGTCGAGGTGTGGTGCGTTTGCTTGCGTTCGCTGCCTCCTCCTCGCCCGTTCTCTCCTTCCTTCTTCCTCCTCATCTTCCGTCTCATGCCACCTCATTGTTCTATATCCTCGCCCTCGTGTTCCTTATCCCCCTCTTCCTTGCGAAGACAAATTTGCGCAAGATGGAAGTCCTCGACCGGGCGACGCCGGGCGACCTTCGTGGCCGAGCGGGCGTTATCGAGATTCACCGATGACAGTAACGCTTGCGCGCTTGCGACTGGTCGTAGCACACTCCCCCCCCTGCCCCAGCGGCCCAGGCCCCCGGTCAAACATGGAAGCAAGGATTTTGGCGAATATGGGCGTGGATATTAAGCGAGATGCGGGAGACGCGAGACCGAGTCACAAACATCTCGTTGACTGACCTAAATAAAAGGGTCGGCTGGCGCGCTCGACAGTTGCTTGTGGACACAGATGCGGGCCGACTTCAGGCCAGCGACGAGGCCAATTTGGCAGATGCATCACAACCAGCGAATCACCAACGCGCACACGCACACGCACGTAGGCTATACGCATTATGGACCCACTTGGCCCCGCTCACGCGTCAACAAGTTTATTGGAGATTGAATTGGGAAGCCAACCGCTGACAACGAAGTCGTGTCCACGCGGCCGACCATGCCTCGATGATCATGCAGCGCAAAGTTCCCGCGCGGGGTTCATCGCCGCTTTCCGAGAATATCCGATGGGACTTTGGTTTGCCCGCGGCACGTTGGCAGACGGGCAAGCGTCGAGAGTCTTTCATCGCTGACGCGGCGCAGAGCATCGACAAATGTAAGGAGGCAGTCAGGGCAACTAAGATGGGTGAGTTCCCGACGCGACACAACGCATCACTCGCGCACATAATCTGGGACTCTGGCAGCATGTATTTTGCCCCCTGGAAGGCAGCCGGCCCCACTGACATCGGCAGGCACGACTTGACCGACATAGCGTTGCTACAACAACGAGCCCATCATCGCGCGCAGCTCCTGCCATTCAATTGTGCTGCGTTACGAGACAGAGAGCGACAACTACGCGCGCATCAAAGATGGATGAACTACGGGTGGAAGGAGTTTTGATCAAGATATACGCGATGCATGGGCGCCCCGAGGTCTCGCGCGCCGCGCGCCTTACTTGCCCGCGCACGAGCGGGCCGCCGCGTGGGCCCGAGACGAAGATCGCATGCGGCATCGCTCTCGACGCGCCCAACAGCAGAGGATCATACGACGGCCCTCTCCGAAGCTGCTACTCTGGGAGGTGCGCCATCACCGCCCACGCAAATCAGCCTCGGCATCGATGGCCGGCTGCCGTCAAGAAGACGCTGGGCCGCATTGGCGACCCGGCACCAGTCGGCGAGCTTACGGGGGCCCCTGACACGGCAGACTCGGAAGCAGCCGCAGGGGAGCTCGAGCGCGCGCAGATGCGCATCTGGAAATAGGAACGCCGCAGGTATAGCCCGCCACGGGTCTGGCCGATCGAGATCGCGATCGTGCTGCTGGACCCACAATGCCTTGCGCGGCCAGGCCACCAGCAGATGGGACTTGGGATCGCCGACGCCGACTACCAGCACGCGGACCCCCTCGCCGCGCAAGCGCAAGCCGAGGCTGGGCCAGTCCCACCGCTGCCCCATCATCCAGACATTCGTCAAGCTGCTGGCCCGCGCGCGTCACTGCGAGTCTCTTCCGGCCCAGGTCTTCACCAGCAACGCCGTCGCGATCGGCAAGAAGGGGGAATCCCCGACGAGCAACGCCGTCGCGGACATCCACGCACGCGTTCGACTGCCACTTGACTGCCAAATTGTTTTGATCATTTTTGGCGACTGCATCTTCGCGTCGGCCTCATCCAGCACGGGGCGCCATATTCGCCGCCATCGCGGGCGCATGGAGGCGCCCGCATCCGTCGACGTGAGTCGCCGATGTTGGTGGCCAAGCTGGCGACGTGGAACCTGAGAGTTGCGCGTCTGTCCCCTGTGACAAAATCACATGACATGCGCAAACTTTCGCGACAGGCTGCCGCCGGAGGCCCATGGCCGCGCGCCCCGCTCGATGCGACGACGAAAATCTCCGCCCCTCCTCGAGCAGCATCGCGCCAATGCCGCAGCGCGCATTCAGACTTCCAGCGCCAGCCTTGCCCTTCGGCCGGGGGTGGAAGGGGGGGGCGGTGGGGGTTCTAACGACTTTGAGTTGTTCATGGGCTCGTTCTACCCGCCGGTTTTAAAAGATCAATCAGACACGGCCGAAGCACAAGGATGCCCGGACGCCCGTCCTCAGCCGAGCAGCGCGACGCGATCTTCGGCGCGTTCACAGACGATTTACTCCAGATAATATTGGCCCTTGACGGTTCGGCCCATCAGGCCCTCTGGTTACATGCTACTGACAACAATTTGCTCTCCCAGGCCCCGGGCATTGGCGGCTGCGCCCAGGACATAGGCAAGCAGGACGCACTGGCACGCATGCGAACCCGCGGGGCCACAGGGGAGGTGGAACAACGCATTTCTGGGAGCGCGGGCCAGGATCTAATGCGTTTTGGGGGATATGCAAACGTAGCTAGCAGCCGCCGTCATGATATTGAAGCTCGAATTCAGTTTGGAAAAGGCGGGCGGGCTCGCCTCGGCAAATGCTGGCCCTCGGGGGGGGGGGGGGGGGGGGGGGGGGGGGGTGGGGGGGGGGGGGGGGGGGGGGGGGGGGGGGGGGGGGGCCCTGGAAGCCCGAGCGTCTGCCGTTCCTGTCCAACATCGCAGGGCGCATCTGGTCAGGGATAGTCAGGCGCGGGCTTAGTCCACGGGGATATCACCGACTAGACAGCATCATCGCGCGACAGTTACGAGCAATGATGAGGGGGTGCCGCGCATCGAGCGCACGACCACATCACGCACCATTCCCCCGCGACCCTTCAGATGTTCAAAGAGTGGCAGCGCCTGCAGCGGTAGAATTACTCGCGCGCGGGCTGATCTAGGCAGAGCGACGCGAGCATTTGCGCCCGCCGCGGCCACTTCCTCGCCGCCTTTTCTGGGCGGCGCAGGTTCGAGCAGCAGGCGGCCATGGGCAGCCGCCCAGCCAGCGCAGCCACCCTCAACTCGCAGGGCGCTCTTTCGACGGACTCGAACATCCCCCTTGGGCCAGGCAGCGCGCGGGGGATCTTTCGCGCCTGGCCTCGCATCCCATCGGCGAGAATCCCCCGGGGACGCGGCGGCCGCCTGCTGTGAAAATCTGCGGCGGGGGGGGGGGGGGGGCGCGAATGCGTGCGAGACGCCTCCTTGCATCGTGGCCCGCGCGCTCTACGCTCCTCTTTCTGGGCGTCTCAACGGCCCCATCCAGGAACCAGCGCGTTCGCCTGCCCACCCCCCACCCCCCTCGGCCGAATCCTTCGACGAGACCAATGGAGACGACGAGGTCAACAGGCCATTCGCATGCAGCATCGAGTCTTGCGGGCAACGATTCGGGATCATTAAGCAGCTAGACCCACGTCGGGCAAATTCGACGGCGAGGGACACGGACTGCCACGATTGCTAACTGCTCCACAGCCGGACAATGCACGCACCGCCCGCTAAACTACATTTCCCAACGCAGGACATGTATTACGACGCATGCGGCGCTCAAGGATAGCAGGCTGGAGCATGCCAGAAGTCACTCATCATGCATGCCCAAGTGTACCAGCTACATGTAACACAAATCCACTACGTGAATATGTATGAGACCAAGCATGTCAGCATGAATGGCATTGCCAACACAGTCTACGAGCCATGTACTTGCACATCTTCCACCGTCGCCAACGGATTCGCCGTTTATGCTAGTTTTGACCAGGACCGAGGCGCGCCCTTCAAAATTGGGCACCGCTACGCCTCCGCCGCCGCGCGTTCCCCACCTATTTCGCACGCGGTGGCCAAGGCGCGTCGAGGGCGCGCCTGGCACTCGAGCTGCGCTCAGACGATCGGCAGAATTCACCCGCGGCTCTCGGGTTCCAGCGCCACGAGCACCTCGGAGCATCAGTGCCTGGTGGCAGGGCGCGACCAGCAGCTGCATCATCATCGGCGCCATCGAGCGACCTCGGGGGCAACATTCGCAGCACCGACCCAGCGGAGGCGGGGGGGGCGCAGCCCCAGCGGCCGCCGAGAGCGGACTGGCGCACCCCCCCCGGCCTCATGGGGACCACGGGCGCCTGGGAACGCATCCGGGCCAGGGGGCAGAGCGCCAGCAGCGGCGAGGCCCCGCCTCGCCCGCCCACCGCAGCAACGAGCGGGCGGGGCAGCCCGGCCCCTCCCCGCGGGGGCGCGGGAGCCCAGCCGCCCGCGGGGTGCGAGGGCGGGGCCGAAGGCGCGCGAGAGCCTCGCAGGAAGGCCCGAGGAGTCGGCCGCGGGGCGAGGCGCGGGGGCCACGGCGGGAAGACGTGGGGCAGCAAAGACAATAATTTGCTGCCCTCCCGCGCTCGGTCTTGAAGTTGCCCCTGCAAGCATCGCGCAATGCCCGCCTCGACAGCGGCATCAACTGCGCCGCGTGCGCAACGAGCAGCAAGCACCCCGTCATCTACGCCATATCTCTCGCGCCCCAGGCCCACAATAACGCGCTCGACGAGATGCGCGGGGGCAGCGGCCCCATGGGCAACCAGAGGCGGAAGGAGATCGGGTCGCCAGCGCCATCGCTGGGCCCCGCTTCGCTCGAGGCGCTCCCGAAGTGCGACACCGGAGGCAAGCTGCAAGCGGAGATCGGAGAATACCGGGAGAAAGCGCAGCCCGCGGACGAGGAGAAGCTCGAGGTCGTGGTTTCGAAGGACGACCTGCAGCTCGCCATCGGTTCCATCTGGTTTGAGAGTTGCCTCGGCATGGGGAAGATGAAGCTTGCGATCGGGGCCCCAACATGGGCGGGCTGCTCGCGCATGCAACGGCCGCTGGCGTTAGATGGTTAGAGGAGGATGTGGCTCACTGGTTCGAGACGCCATAGCAGTAGCGAGGCCGGTCAAGTTTGCGCGCTGCGAGCCCCTCCCTGCCAGCAGCAGCGCCGTCAGCATCGCGCATGCTGCCGCGGCCTCTGCGCCCGTGTTTCAGGCGTTCCTTGCCAGCGCCAGCGCCGCCAGCATCACTCAGGCTCCCCCAGCGCCGGGCGTTGACAATTTTTGTCAACTTGAGCAGGCCCCGATCGACACGCACTTTCTAGACGCAGCCGCTGAGGATGGGGCCTCAGCATTCTTGCACGGATAGCTATCCTCATCGCCCGACCGTCCGAGGCAGCGCAGCGCAGCCCCCCGCGCCAGCGCCCTCCTAGACGTTGTCCCGCGCGGTGCATCTCGAAAACCCAGGCTGTCTGCGACGGACCACGTTTTGCCGTTCAAGCTGTGGTGCTTCCAGTTTGGACCTGACGCCGATGAACAATAAGGAGGATGATGATTTGGTTTCGCACAGCAGCCCCGCACTTTCCAATTCCAACCTTATGCGTTTTCCCAAGGGATCTTACAGCCGCGCGGGGCGATTGCGAACCAAATGCGGCTGTCAATATGGGTCGATACGGTGGGGGGAAAATCCCGTCCGCCTCCGTTTCTCCCACCCTCCGTTTCTCCTCACCCCGTTTGTCATTCACCGTAGACGGCGGCGACGCAGGCCGCCACCACTGCACACTCGTCTTCGTAGCGAAGTTGGCCGCACTCTCGTGCGGTTGGCCGTTGATCTTGTTCCGCGACTCCTCGCCGCGATCTGCTCGACCGATGTTTCCCTCCACCCCAGAACCCAAAGTCCAACCACGAACTCACATATTTGCATAAAGCTAAGCATGGATCCGTAGACAAGCCAGAGGCGTGCAGGTTCAGCAAGAGCCCGGACGAGTGGCACTATGTATATCTAACAATATTTGCACCATATAGTCTACAGCGCACGTCTGAATGGGCCACCACACCGCGACTCCTGAGCGCAGAAACGCGCCTGGTGAGGATCACAAGCACCTCAAACACCCATGGCTTTGAGCCTCTGTCATCATTGGGCTTGCCATTGGCCCCGCCATAGGTTACAGGCGCCCTGATGGATGGGGGGAAAAAGGTGGTAACATTGTGGGTCTCATCTGGGGCCCAGCTGGCAGTGCACAATTTCGGAAGTATGCGTATGAAGTCAACGCATCTGTCCAGCGGCCGTGCGACACCACGACTGCAGGCTGCAGACCTCCAGCGTGGGCTAGGAGGTTTGGCGAGGAAGCTCGCCATGCGTGTCCCGCCGACGTCGTAAACATTTTGGCGTGGAAGGCGAGGGCGTCCACACAGACCCCGCCACCCACACCATGCTCATATTAAGCATGGGGTTCGAACATTTAGATTATGAGCGTCAGCTCACGTCAGGCACGCAACTGATCGACTTCCACGTGCCCCACTTCAGGAAGCCCTGGCAAGCTTGGAATGTGCACAGTTGGAAGTCCAATCGGTGGGTCTCGGGTTTTTTAATTTCCAACGTCTATCCACGGCCATTCTCGGAGTAGGTGTTCAGAGGTCTGCACAGTTCCTACAGTCTCGTAACCGACAGCGCAAGAGACCCCAACCTGAGTCCAAATTACATCAATGTTTGCTCATCCCACGGCACCGTCACGTGTCCACCTGGGCCACCCTATAAGACGGATGGTCGGACGAGGCTAGGGCGAGGATCAATCCGTTCCAGAGCGTCCGGAACGGTCTGCGAAGGCCGCGGCGCCCGAGACATTCTCCAGAGCCGCCGGATCTCAGAGAGTCTCGATATTTTTGTTCAGCTCATGTCATCCTCGTCTCGGCTTTGCCTTACTTCATGACCGTCAAAAGAGCAGCCAGGCTGCAATGCTGGTCTTGGGGAAGGGTACCATTGCTCTCGGGGATACACGCTGTGAAAAGGGCACGGCGTCGGAATTTGGGAGGCCGCAGACCCGAGCAGTTCGACGAAGGACTTCGGTGCACGGGCGCCCCAGCGCCCCACAGGTTGGGAGGCCAGGGCATCTACACGCACCGAATGCATTGGCCGGCCAGGTCATTTGGTGTATGGTGTACAGGCGGCCCGGATTAGTAGGTCGACCCTGCCAGATCAAGGGCATCCTCGTGTCCTGTGTCTCGCAACCCACGCTTCCTACATTCCTGTGGCAAAATGTGTCCCTCGGAGGGATATTGTGCCCTCTCGCGTGTCCTGTCCAATCGAGTCTGACTGTATACCTCGCGCAGTGTTGCGGTTCACCTGATGCTTCACAGTCGCGTTGCGCTCAGCTGCCTGCTTCGCAATCGCGGGGGTGCTCCGCGTGTTCGCTCTCTGTTTTAGATTTCCTGAAGAGTCGCCAGTCGCGCGCTCTTCCGCCCACGCGTCCCGCAGGACGCACGGCTTAGTGGTGGGTGGTGGTGGTTGTGGACCTGCCTCGAAGGATTGCAAAAAAACCAACGATTGCAAAAAAATCCGAAGGATTGCAAAAAACCCAGGATTGCAAAAAAACATGGTTTTTTTGCAATCCTTCGTTCCAGGGTTTTTTTGCAATCCTTCGTTTTTGCAGACCCCCCCCTTTCGGGGGCAACGTCAGGGAGGGGGGCAGGCTCACATGGGGGAGCCGCGTCGACCCGCAGTCGCCCACCGATCGTCGACGGGGGGCCCGACCGCCCACCCCCCGTCCAGGATCGCGCGGTGCTGCCGAGGGCATGTCGCGGACCCCCCCCCCTCCTCCTCCTCCTCCTCCTCCTCCTCCTCCTCCTCCTC